GAGAAGCGCTCATGACATAACCAAACTTTAGTCAGTCAGAACAGTACTTGAGGTGCTGGGAATTGCTGTGGATCCCAAGAAAAAGTTTGTGGACATGAGCTGATGTCCACAAAGCTGTGACACGTTGATCCTTTGCATCTGGTGTTTCCCTTAATACTTGCTAAAGAATTGAAAAGTCATTTGACCTGGGGAATATTTGACTGAAACTGAATTACCTTGAACTCGTAGTGGTGCTAGGGCAAGGGTTAACAGTAGGGGGCTGGTGTTGTGGGTGCTCCTTGTGCTTGACTTTGTTTCCGAGTGTGCTAGTTTAAAACCCAGTGGGAAAATTAAAGCCACTCAAACTGCCCCCTTTCCCCCACTCCCTTCTGGTAGTGGAGGAAACATTAGGAGAGATTATAAGATGGAATCACAATTTACTGCAATAACCACAGCAGTGTTAATAAAAGAATGTAATAAAGCGAGTGTTTTACCCACAAAAGAGTATTTACCACTGGACAAACCAAAACACTTCCTGAAGACAGTACTTGGTGCCAAAAGCAGAATGGTGACTGGCCCCACACTGAGCCATGTGGTGTGTGGGAAAACAAGGGCAGTGTGGCAGGGATGCTCCCAGCCTAACTCCCCCCCCAGCTGGGAAACAGTGGGAAAACAGACAAAACCTGGTGGGATGTGATGGGACCTTGAAACAGCCATGAGGACCCTACCTCTTGGCCTGACTCCTGGAGTGGGACTGGAAGGCTCAGTGGTTCTGGCCACATCTTGGGTTCCAGCTGCAGCTCCAGTGGCTGCTGTGGTTGCTGTGGCTGTGGCTTGGGGTCCATGTGGCTCCAGTGGGCTCTATTTTCTTTTGTCTTGGAGCAGCATCCAGGGCTCGCTGGTGCTGTGTTTCAGCACCAAACCAGAAATGCTGCGGTTCGGAGGAGCAGGCAAGGGACTGCCTGTGACAGAGGGGACAAGGTCTGCCCAGCTGGCCCTGAAAGCTGCAAACCCTCCCTGAGTTCTGCTCCCAGCCTCAGTTTCCTCCTGCTGGAACCATGTTCCCGCCATGATGTGGGTGGTATGGGATTAAATAGCCCTAGAAACTCTCTGCCTTTTTTCTCTAATCAGGGCACCAAGGCAAATACTTTGTTTCATATGACAGTGAGACACAAAACTAAGGGATGTAGTACCACAGCAGTTGGAAGCTGCAGGTACTATTGTCAGTATTGGTAACTCACTTCTTTTTTTTTAATACTATGCCCCGAGTCAGTAAAATCAGTAGAATACAGGTAGAAGTTTATTCTTCCATTTTATTCTACTTTTCAATGTGGAGGCAAGCTGTGAGCAGCTGTCTGTAATGTATTGTGGAGCAGTAACCTTAATGTTTGGAGTCTGTTAATTTGCATAACCATAATGTTTTATACTGAACTCATTGTTTCATATTATTTGAACAGATTGAAATGAACGAGTAAACTACACTATACATATTGATCAATGCATGAAGTAGTTTTTGTGTTGGTGCTAGTATATAGGATTTTATAGTTATATTATAGAGTTCTTTGAGATATTTCTTGAAATTAAAAAGGAATCGTGATTTGGGGATTTTTGGTGATTGAAAGTTTTAGTATTGTAGGAAATTATGTTCCATATAATGATTTAAAGAACAGCTTTCCTAACAGAATTTATAACAGAATTTGTTTTATTCATATAGAGAAGAATCCCTCACGAAAGGATGCCAGTGTTCTTGATCATAGCAAGCACACTGTTTGCATTGTAGTGTGGCTTTTGTGATAATTATATTAGCAATAAAAAGATGTTGAAGGTTTTCAGGGAATAATCTGTATTTCAAAAATGCTGGAAATTACTTTTAAAAATGGAATAAATAAAAACAATGAATTTATGGACTTGGATGAGTCTTTGCAGTTAGTTCAGCCAGCTGTATTAAGTCTTTGTAGGAATACATTGTTCTAAAGGAGCTTAGTCTTTAGATGTTTAGTTCACTGCTCTGAGCCTCACCTTTTTCTTGACATATATAACCAAGTGTTTATATATTCACAAATCTTATATAAATACATGCAATCCTAGAGCCTTTTCAAGCATATCCATTATCAGTGTTTTATGATTTGTTTTACATTAAAGCTTTCCTACTTGAGGTAGTGTTTTAGCCCATAAATATTGATTTTGATGACAGAATAATTAGGTTAGCTTATGTTAAACAAACACATAGCTTTTTTGGAGGTTTTTTTTTTTTCCTAGTTTTTAGGAACACGATATACTGGTGTGTAGGAACAAAATCCATTGTAGTTGTTTACAGTTGAGAGACAACTAGCAGTGGCTGATACTTCTAAACATTTGGGCAATGCTGTATGAATTCAGATACTTTCCTTTTTCTTATCCGAAAACAGTCCTTTGCTGACAGCAAATATGTTACACTCTGCCAAATGAAATAGTGCATGAAATTCTGCTCTTGTTTTTTAAGCGAGAAGTTTTGTGTAGTTTCCATGATTGTACGTTGGAGTACTGACATTTCATTCAACCTAATTATATTTTTCATCTGAACTGTAACTAGTGATCAGATAATTATCCTGGCTTTAAAAAAATACATATAGCTAATATAGATGCTTGATAGCTAGTTTTGTTGCTAAATTGAATTAAAAATAGGATAAAAATAACTTATTAGTAATTTTGGAAAATGGAAGTGAGGTTTTAATGCTCATTTTGTTTTAGACATTGAAGTTGAAGCTTCTCATTTTATTTGCATAGGAATTAACATAATTGTTCTAGGAGTGTGCATGTGAGTCCCATACCTTTTGCCATAGTTGTTAAGAATTAGGTGCATCACATGTCTCTAGACTAAATATGATCTCACAGGAATGGCTAGTCATTCCTTAGGAATAATTATTTCTTACTGAAAAATAAATGTCATTGCATATAATCTATGTCAGAATTAGCATCTGTCTGTGAGCATGGGAATGTTTTTGTATTTTCCTGGTGTCCTCTTCTGGACCTTATTTGTACAGCATATTTACAAGAGCCATAAGGAAATTGTTGCCCTGTTTGCTCTTAAGAGCTCAGTATAAAAATCTGTAAATTGGACTTTGCTCTAAAAGAATATTATCTGTTCTGAGAGATTTTCCTTTTTCTTTTGTATCTATAGTCTTTCCTTTGTATATTACTTGACAGCATGCTGCATTTGTTTTTCATGCTGAGATAAATAACTAAATAGCTAAATAGAGAAAAGGAAAGAAGAAGCTTCACAATATTTCATTTAAGAAGACTATTTTCACTCCAGGCAGGGGCAGGGGATCACAAGCAATAGTATTGTGTGAAGTTATCCTTCCCTTTTGTAACTTATACAGGGCTGCTCCTAATTTACTGCAAAGTAAAGTAAAATGGTTTTGCTTAAAATTATCTCTATTAGCTGTGTGTGACCTTCATCAGGAATGAAGCTAACCCATTTTACTTCAGGTCTTCCTGGCCTAGAAGTATTTTTTGAGCAGCTGCAGCTTTTCAGGCAGTCATTGGTACCTCCAGGATGAAAACATCTGAAGAAATGCCGGCTGCACTGTGAGCTGTTCCTTGATGCTGTTTGTACATTGCTTGTAGGCATGCAACGAAACTGGTTCTGAAGGCAAAGGCAGCTTGCATGGCATGGGGTTCACTGCAGCACTGTCCACACACAGCTGCTGCTCCTCAGTTGGACCACTCAGATGATAAGATTTACACAGTTCTTGTGTGAGTGAGCTGAATAAGTTAAGCTGTTATGGGCAGAAAGGAGATTGCCAGAAGTTGCAATAAGGAAGGCTGCCTGCCTGGTCCTTCCCTGTATAGGATGCTCCTTGGAGTTTTTTTATAACTTTACAAAATGTTCGTCTTTGAGGCTAGGCAGTTGCTGCCAACTTAATTTTTCTTGCTGCCAAAATAATTTAGCTATCTGTGAGCTTATGTGGAAGAAGTTGTTTCTCATTGTAGATTTTTAAAAAACCCACAAATGAAACAAAAAAAAAACTAATCTTTTTTTGGAAATGCTCCGCATCCCTCCCGTTGAAACAGAGACGAGGAGTTAAAGTGTGGGAAGCGCTAGTGAAGGGCACTGTGGAAGAAGAGCTGATTACGAGTCACAGCTTTTCCTTTGTCAGCACTGCAAAATTCTCAGATCGAAACAAACTATAACTTTCTAAAGAAATGACAGATCTCACACGGTGCCTTGGGCATGTGAGAGCTGTGTGGCCTGGAAGAGGAGAGGGAAGCTGGGTTTGTACCCCGGTACCTGAGAGCCAGAGGCAAAGCCATGGGACAGTGACATGCATGGGACCCTAATGTGGTCCTGGCCCCAAAATGCCTTAGACTCTGAGCAGGGGAGACAGACGTGGTGGGAGAGTGAGAGTTAATATTGGGGAATGAAAGAAGAAGGAGGAGTCAAGGGGAGAGTGTGGCACTGCTAGCCAAGCTTGGAAGTGACTGAGCTAGGAGAGATGAAAATCCTTGGGGAGCAGGGTAAGGAGAGACTTGGCAGGGGTGCTGAAGGTAGGAATGAAGAAGGACCAGAGCTTGAATCAACATGGGCCAGAGGATATGACTTGAGGAAAACAGGCAGAGAAGTTTGTTCTGGAAGGTCCAGAGATCTTGAATATTAAGTAAACACTCTTTGGTTTCAGTAGAAGCTCCTTGAGAATGTTTTCAGTCATCACCTATGGCTAATTTCCATGCAGAGAATCATTTCACTTTTGCAACCAATGTGATATTACTTTCCCACAAAAGCTGCACAGTACGCCTAAAGATTTCAAACCAACTGCTGTTTTTTTTATAGGTGTCAGTGTGACAATGTCTGATGTCTCAGTTTCTTACTTCTAGAAGTAGTGAAAGCAAACATTTTTCCAGTGTGGCAATGTCCAAGTCAAGGATTGTCAAAACTGAGCCTATTTTTGCAAATCTCTTTTGTTTGGCCCCTTGTGAGGAAGCCCCTCAATTTAATGATATTAAATCCCATGCTGATGTGCTGGTTTTCTTCCCCGCAGGAGTCTCACTCTGTTCCATGCACAGGATGGACTTGCTCTGGGAATGAATCTGGTTGATGCATTGGAGAAGGCTGTTCTCTGGAGTACCCCTGCCTCACTTCCAGCAGAAGTCAGGACGTGTGTGGTGTACGAGGCAGGGGATTGCAGAAGGCAGGAGCCATTCTGGTGCTCTGTGCAGCTGCATGCTGCCCTGGCGAGTGGGACTCCCTTCCTGGCTGTGCTGCAGACTTCCTAGGTGATGCTAGGTAAGTTGCTCAATCCTAGTTTTGCTCATGTCTTTGCTCACTGTATCTTGCTTTCTTGTGCATGACTCGTGGTCTTTGGATCTTACTTGGAAAAGTACTGACCATTGTGACTGGGGGTGAGGCAGTGGGGGCTGAGTTTTGAAGGTGCTATGTAAAGCACAATGTAATGCTAAGTGCTCTGAAAAAATAAGGTCTGAGTTGTGCCAAACTGGAGACAAAGTTGTCTTCAGAACTGGAGAACCATTTTGACCCTGAAGCTGTCACTGCTTTAGTTAGGAAGCTAGGAATAACAGTTATTCTAAGTCAGGAGTAACAGAGTAGGGGTAGGACTAACCATTATGTTGATGGAACACTCAGCTGCAGCATTGAATTCACAAAGAAATCACTTGTTCCGTCTTCCAAAAAAAAGTTTGAGTAGTGTGCAGTAAATCAGGTATAGGACCATACTCCAAATGGCAAGAGTTAAACAGATTATTGTTTTGATTAGTGGTAATTTTGTAAGTTTTTGAATGGTGCAGAGGTGCTGTGGAAATGGTATGACATAACTGCGATGTATACCATGCCACAAAAGCAAACAAAGGCAAAGTTTAGGTTTTCTGAGACTCAGCTTCTGATATTTCCTCCTATGACTGCTTGCATCCATATTAGTTTTAGTGTAGACATTTGTATCATGCAAGGTGATTTGGGGTGCACGAAGCATGGGTTTGTTTTTTTTCTGTCAACTCAGATAATATATGTAAATAAAATTAAAATTACTTGTAAATTCATCATTCATTGCAGCCACGTGACTCTTGTGCCTGGTTTTTGTATCAGATACTAAGTAGACAGTATTTGTAATGCCCACTGTCAGAATGGCTTGGAGTCAGAATTTCATCTGCATTTCCTCAGCATGGGGTTTGTATTTTCCCAGTATGATGTCCAGAGCTAGCTACAGTGCTGTTGTAATCAGTAGATAACAGAGAATTTTTTGGCCAAGGCATGGTTAAGCTAAATATTGTTTCAACTTAGCTAACCTGAATGCAAAATATCTGACATTAAATCAGGTTTTATGAATTAACCAAGAGCGAATCTTCAGTGCCTAGAAACATAGCGAGTGTGCTTGCCAGATAAGCTGTTACTCTCTATTGCAGGGAAGAGAGAGAGTAAAAAACTATTAAGGTTTTATAATGGCTGAATATTATATTAAATACACAGAGCAAGAATGTATGTTCCCCTTCCAGCCTGCTCACAGGGGATCTACTACATACGGCTCTGTGAAAGGCTGCACTAATGCTTTAGGTGTTGAGCAATATTTCTAAGTGCTGCTTTCTAAGAAAACATGAGGTATTTTTGTTTGACTACTGCTGTGCAGAGTGCAAGTCTTTCTTTAAATCTTTGAAAATAAACAAAAAAAAGCAGTGGGGGTGGCGGGGAAACAATCTGTATTTTATGAGCAGAAGTTAAAAATGAAATTATTTGCTTTATCTAGAGTATTGAGAGCTGTGTTGCAATTAGACTGATGCAATAGCACACATTACGAAAGGATTGTGCTGGAGGAAAGCATGGGACTGGAACAGCAGGGGTGTTGTGAGCCTGCAGGGCAGCACACTGGCACAGCTACACCGGGGAGATTATCAGCTAATGTGAGACAGGAACGCCAAGGAAAATAAAAACTCTGCCATTCCTGCCATGTCCCATAAAACGGGGGGTGGGGGGAGAGAAGGAGGGTGACTTGGGTTTGTCAATGTGCCTACTTTATTTCAGTGTCACGTCTAATCCGGTGTGGAAAATGTTTTCTGTTATGTCAAAGAAAGAAGGAATGGAAATGGCAGCTAATTATGAGCTAATATACTTCGAATGCTGCTAATAAGAGTGGAATTTTACTCAGCTCACTCTTATTTCTACAATAGAAAGGCAAAATTTCTCTTGAGTAACTGAAACATCTGTTGAACAAATTGGTTCAATTTCATGAGTCTGTTGCTAATTCTGAAAAGTAGATGGTGTTTTATAAGATCAGTAGAGTCACGGGGTTAGAGCCTATATTCTTTACTTTTTTTACTATTATTAAAGTAGGTCATGTTTAAATGTTTTGTTTTTATGAATACAGTAATACTGTGGTTAATGTTTCTAGTATTTCAAGCTTTACCTTTGGTTTAATGAGTTTTCTTCACTGTTTTTAATCAGTATTACTAATAGTCTTTAAAGTTGTGGGTTTCCAGCTTTGTATCAAGTTCTTGGTAATTAAGTAGTTGAGCAGGTTTTACAAAAAATCCTCTTTCAGTGCATTTCTATTTCTATTTCCTTATTTCTTCATTTTTTCCTGGTCTGTTTTACTTACGAAGTTTAAATATTAATAGAGTTTTAATTGCTTCTATTGCTGTTTTCTCATTTGGATTAATTCTTTGTAGATATGCAGATGTGGAAAAATATTGTAGGTGACAAGGCAGTTTATGGCTTCACATGATAGATGCCTAAGAATGTCATAGAGTCAACAAGCTGATGTTATCTGAATAATAAGAGAAGAAAAAAGGGAGGAATTTAAAACAGTTTTTCCAAAATTTTGTTCCCATGTGTCAGAAATGTTTTAATTTAGTCTCATATACATACATGCATCTTAAAGTTCTCAGGAATATCTCTTAACACCATCATCAATGAAAGGAAATCACAAATGTAGTGCAGATCAAGTTAAGTTCTGTGTGCTTTACAGTTAAATATTACAAAATCAATGCAAGTTCTTCCTATGTACTACCTATAACTGGCTGTAATACTTTGGCATATTTGAAGGGGAAAGCTGGACTTTGAATTTAGACAGTGAATATATACTTTGTGCTACATAGATTACATGGAAAATACAAGACTGGGATTAACCATATGCATTCAGGGTGATTATAAGCTATGAAATTTTCAGCTTTGTGGTCCGGGTGTCTCTTCATAGAGTAGCTTAGTATATGAGGGATGTGAAGGGAAGTTGATAATACTTTAAAATGCTACTTAAAAAGTAAAAGAAATTACCTGTTTATTACAGCTGGTTTTTAAGCTTTAATATTTGCTAATTATGTAGTAGTTTGTCTTCTTTAATTCAGAAGATAATGGAGGTATGAATAGGAGGGACAGCAGTGTGGGATACCATTGCTTTTGAGGGATTGCTGGGCTGAGGAGGAATGGAGATGCATACTCAAGTCTTCTGAATGTGCACGTGAGTACTGCCAGTGCAAAAAGCTGCCCTGCTGCAGATGAGATGTTGTGAACTCCCCGTTTTTTGGTTTTGTCCTTGGTGCAGCTCACTGAAGCTGCAGATGACGTTCATGAAATTAAGTGAGGGGAAAGTTTTGTGGCTGAAATCCTGTGCCAAGTCTTTTTGAAGTTCTATGCAGCAGCTGTGCTGTAGCTAAAGAAAGGCTTTCTTTGCCTCCATCATAACATCTGCATGGTCTTTAACAGCAGAATTGTTCCACTATGATGTGTCATTTAGCTAATCTGGGTTGCCTTCATTAAGTCCTTTTTATCTTTTCTGTATTAGAAATGCTCGCATTACTTTGGGGAAGTAAGTTTGCAGAGATCTGGACTTGAGCGTTTCTGTGTAGAAACAGTAGGCTTCAGTAAAAAAAAAAAAGTCAGAAGATGAGTGGAGACTTTGTAGCTCAGTGGGTCTCTTTAATCTGGGCAGCTGTAAATGGGCATAATGAATTGGATTTTTGTGTGTCCTCTCTTGTTTGGAGGTTAGGGGCTGAACGTGTGGCCAGTTTTTGTGGAGTTGCCCCAGATGTGACATCATGGCAGCTGGCATTGGTCTGACAGCTTCCAGAAGTGTGGCTTGCACCCTCTGTGCTGAGGTGTTAGCCCTGCTCCCTTGTGCCAGTGCTGCAGCCACAGCTCTGGGCTGACCAGAGGACAGCTCGATGCATTTTTGGTTGAGTCACTTGGCTGGCCTTGACCTCTTTGAACTTCCTGACTGTGGAGCTGGACGAATGTCTCTGCTGCAGATGGCCTGGAAGAGAGGGATGGCAGGACCAGCCTCCTGTAATTGTAAATTGCTTTCAAAACCGTGCCTTGGTTGAGAAGGCAACCCAGGGAAGTGTTTTTAAGAAATGCCTGCTTGACTGTATACTGTGTTTACTTCTAAAGTTAAGTAGAGAGAAATCAATCAGTCAATCAATCAGGTATAATTGAATTTGAAATTTTAGCTTTAGTGTTTCTTCCAGTTGAAGATTTTTGCACAAGGACTTTTAGACTGAATTTTTATTTAGTCTTCTTACAGCATGAGACTAAGAGGTTTGTAATCGTTCACTCTGTTGAAGCTGGTAAGTTCTTAAAACTAAAGAGTGGGATCTAATGGTCTGAAATGTGAGGTTGTGGTCTTGGAGAGCGAAGCAGAGGTGGTTGAAGTGCTGCCCCTTCTCTCTGTTATGGATTTCGAATATTATGACTGTAAATATCTTGGATTTATAGGGATACTTGACTCTCAAGCAGCATGTCTCAAACTAAATCTGGAGGAATACACTGTAAGTTAAATGGGGTGCTTGTGGGTTTTTTGGTAAGAAGTAACACATTTTATCGTCAGGAATTACTGGACATCCATTTGCTTTCTGGTTGAACAGTAGGATCAGTCTTCCTTCTGTAATCTCAAAGGAAAATGACTGTACTGGAAAAGCAAGAGTACTGATTTACGTAATTGTACTCATTGCAGAAGTTGGGTTTATGAGTTCCAGTTAACATAAATAAGCAAAATGAGAGAAAAGGACAGGAAACATGCTCCTGCCTATTAGGATTGTTAAATAATATTTTCAAAATTATCTTCTAGTCAAATTGTGATTTTCTTCAATTTATGCCAGTAAGGCTGTGGTTACTCCTCACATTCACTGTCTATAAAATTAAGCATATACTTGCCACAATGAAGAATGAACACTGCTCTGTGCAAAATAATAAAGTTTTTATTATTGCTGCTATTGCAAATTACTTGAAGTACTGCATATTGAATGGAAAAAATTAGGTCTGTCTGCCTGTGTAGTTCAGAGTGCAGC